TGGATGTGGCAGTTGATATTAACTTGCTCAGTGGTTTACAAAACCCTAATGGGTTCCTGCACCTGTTGAATTCACCCTTCTTAAATTTTTGATTAATACCACTTTGTACTTGACATTATAAAGCTGTAAATACTCAGTAGTGTCAAAAATCCCTTTTAAGAAGAGACCCCCAGAAACTAAAAAGAGTTGCATCAGAGGAGGCCTGCAGGTGGCACTGCTGCCCAGGAGTCACCCAAATCTCACTCAGGAATAGCTTTCTTAAAAAAATAAATACACAGATAAAAGAGTCACTTGAGGAATTATACAACACTGATTCCAAAAATTAAATCCCAACCAACATTTGAGTGATTTTTAAGTTGTGTAATTCCTTCCAATTTATGGTTTGGTGTTGAAAATTCAATTTTCAATTTAGCGAACAATGAGTATAATGCTTTATAGTGTCGCAGCCTGGCAACAGGCAGAATACAAACCTGAGTGGAGGGGTCCCATGAATATCAATGAAGCTGGGCAAGAAAATGAAACGTGGACTTTCTGCTTGGGCATGAAATATTGCCTGACAAATCAGATCAGGTAAGCCAGGAGACAGACTGAGGCTGCTAAAATCTAGAGATGCGTGCAGTCTTCAGGGTTCCCAAGTCATAAACCAGAAAGCTGATGAAACCTCACAAATACAAAAGTCTGAGACCCTGTGTGCAATGAACAAGAGCGCAGGGTTTTTTTCACTGTATTTTTAGCTTTATTATGATTTTTTTAAGAAAAATTACTGCTAATCTCTAACCCTAGCTAGTCACATAAGCTTTAGACAGAAAGACAGCCGCTTTCTCTTGAGTCACTAAGAGACATATAGTTCTCGAGAAACAACACTCCAAGATTTTCATAGGGTTGTATGCGATTGATATGATTATAGATGATGTAAACTTTCTTTCATTTCCAAATCGATAATAAATAGACGTTACTTTTTAATAAGAGATATCAATAAACGCTAAAGTAAAAACATAATTCTGAACTTTGATTCTGATAACTTCTCCCTCATATTAACACAAACCCAGTTTTGTTGGTTTGTTTCAATGCTACGGATCCCCTGTAGTGAATATGAGGTGTTCTGCAATAGATTCCCATTCAGTGTCTGTCATTCATTCCCCTAACTACCAGGACTATTGGCTGCATTCCTCTTTGGGAACTGTGCTTCGCTAAAGGGAATTGCTTCACCCAAGGCTACACCTCCTCCGCAGAATCAACCCATAATCAGTGACTGGTTTATATGAAATTCCAAGGTCCAGACACTTCCCTCAATGATTCTGAAGGGCATCCCAGCTCCAGAGCCCTCTATAGGGTCAGCTGAGGCCTCTGTTGTAATTGCATTGAAGTTAAACTTTTTCTTTTGCCCCATCCCAACTTCATCACTTACTTACAAGTATTGTCCCCAAGTGTACTTCCCAGTAACCTCCAACACACAAATGTTTGCCTCAATATTATCAGAAATGTGACAGACAGGATTAGGAAGCTGACTAAAATAGAATTTTGAAGCTCAGTCAACCAATGGTTGCCTTGTAATGAAGAGACTATCACTGATGGCTGGTCGAATATCTATAGTCCCTGCCAAAACTTTTATTGGTCGTGAACTGGTACCAACTCCCAGCCAAAATATTAAATCTAAAATAATCTTTTTTTTTTTTTCTGTGCTGCAGTTTCTACAAGTCTACTATAATTCTTATTTATTTTTGTTCCTCTGTCTAAAATGTTTTTTTCTCTGGATTTAAGATTTTTCTCTTTATCAATAATTTTCTGCAACTGGGTTATATTTGCCTCGGTGAGGTTTTACGTTTCTTTTGCTAGGGATTACTTGAGCTTCAGTAGTCTTTATCACATTTAGAAAAAATTCTGCCATTATTTTGGCCAGTAATTTTTATGTCGTCCCCTTTTCTCCTCATTCCTACGCTCCTACTGCACACACATTACTGAGTTTCATATTTTCACACTACTCACTGAGGCTCTGTTCCTTTTTTTTTTTCCAGTTTGGTTTCCTCCATACTTAATTATGGGTGGTTTCTATTGCTGTTTTCAAGTTTACAGATATTTTCTTCTGCTGTGTCTAATTTGCTTTAAATTTCATTCCATATATTTTTCATTTTGGGTATTGCATTTTTAATGTCTAGAGTTTCTATTTACATCTTTTTTATATTTCCCATTTATGTCACTATATTCATGATTTTCTTTATATCTAAGAATATATTTATAATAACTTTGCTAAAATGTCTGTCATTTCTGGGTATGTTTCTAGTGATTTCTCCTCCCTGGTTGTGGGTTATATTTTTTCTGTTTCTTTGAATGTCTGGTAATTTTTTTATTGGATGATGAACATTGTGACTTTTACATTGTTGGATGCTGGATTTTGTTGTATTTCTTTAAAGTACTGAATTTTGTTTTGGTACACAGGAAGTTACTTGAAGATCAATTTGAATATTTTGAGGCTTGTTTTTAAAATTTATTAGGGTGACTCCCTAGCAGTTTTTATTGTAGGACTAATTTGGCTCCCATACAAAAGCACAACTCTTCTAAAGATGCTATCCAGTACCTGAGGTATCTGAAGTTCTCTCCATTCTGCTTGATGGGAACATGAGCTATTCTCAGCTCTGCGAGTTCTAGGGAATGTTTAGTTTACTGTTTTCCAGTCTTGCTTTCCTTGGCCTTGTGGAGCAGTACTCACCTGACTTCCTTCACCCTGCCCTATGCCAATTAGTACTCAACAAAAACCTCTAGACTCCTCAGCAGGTCTCTGGAGGTTTTTGTTGCATTTTGCAGCTCCTTCAGGGATCCTGAACTCGGACCTCTAGCTCCCTAATGCAGTGAGACACTAGGCTTTATTTTGGTTCCCCCTCCCTGCACTTTGGCTTCCCCTCCCTGCACTTTGGCTTGGCAACTGCCTCCAAGCAGTAATATGGGGCAATTATAAGGTTCACCTCCTTTGTTTTCCTTTTCTCAGGGATCACGTTCCTGTATTGTCTGCAGTCCAATGTCTAAAAACAGTTGTTTCATATACTCTGGTTTTCTGGTTGCTTATGGAAGAAAGGGAAATTCAGAGATCAACTAATGCAACTAATGCATGAAGCTAGATTTCTATATGAAAATTGTTCTTATGTGCAAGAGTCAACACTATTTATACTTCTCTTATACATTCTGTTTCTTCTGCACACATTCCAAGAGGTTTTCAGTGAAATTAAAAAAAAAAACTATTTTGTACATTTTTTCAGTTCTTAGAAGATTCTTAGTTAATAAAAAGGCAAATTGAGTCACTAAAAGATTCTTAGTTGCGACACTTTATTGCATTTTGAACTGTTACGTTTATTCCAGTGAATTAACATATTTCCTTCAATTTAGAGTTTAAGACTAGCAGGCCTTCACTTGTCCCCTAGAAATGCTTCAACAAAAACACAACACACACACACATGCACACACATTTTCCTTCAAAGTCAAAGGGTGGTATATGGGCCGGAGAGGTATACAGAGTACCAGGATATAAAATTCCAGAAATATCATTAGTTCCACCAAACCTGAGGTCAAAAACATTACCACTGATAGAAGAGAAAATATATTATAAGATATGAGGACAGAGATTTGGTAGGAAAGTTTGAATCAGCAGAGATCTTGTTAAGCTCAATACAAGGAGAGGGGAAAGAACTTAGACATTGCGCACAGGCTTGCTAAATTCAAGGTTTAAATATATTACCTTTTAGATTACTGTAACAACTTAGGTAGGTGTTATTATTCATGTTTATAGATTGAGGAAACAGAGTTTAAGTTTCCCTAGGACAGAAATGTATTCAGTAGGGAATTCTGTACTTTCCAGTACTGAATGCTACGTAACTGCCTGGATAATAAGTGGGGAGAGTGAATTATTATATGCCATTAATTGGCAGAAGCTATTGGGGACGGTTGATGGCAATGACTTCTGGGACCAGAAACACAATTGTTAAAATGACATTATCATCTGATCTGGTGTAACCTGTGCATTCCCACAAGTTTGCTAGACTATTTCACACCTCTTTAAATGTGTGACATCCTCCCCACCCTGCTTTACTTTTGGCAGTTGACTTGAGAAAGTAAAATTAGAAGAGAATTTCTACAAGCACTCAACATCAAATCAACCAATCAGCCCTATAACAAATTAAGTTCTATATTTGAACTTAAAAGCCTCCGCCTCCGCCCCCCGCCCTCCCAAACCTCTCTTGGATAGGAATCTGTCCATGCTCCTGATGAAGGCTAAGCTGTTACTTGTGGACTGCATCCCATGTTTTCACATCCTCAAGGATCTTGCTTCTGAAGATATGCATGCTTTCCTTCCTAATCAAATTTTCCCTTTATACTAGATCAAAAATTTTCAGCCAGTGTGTACAATCAGAATCTTATAAGCTAGGGGGGGGGAGGGGGGTTGTTACTTTGTGAGGGTGAAAAGGGTAACTATTGCATTGTTCTGTACACCTGAAACTAACAATAAAAAAAAAAAAGAATCTTATAAGCTAAAAAATAGTTTAACAAGGTAACTGTGAACTAATTGTTCACAATTTCATTTTGGTTCATTTCTGCCCAAAGCAATTGAGGGTACTATGTTTTTGCGAGATCTCTTCTATTGCTTTAATTCTAAGTGGTTTTAAATAATAACTGCTAATATTTATAGTGCTTATTCTACACTAGATACTGTGCTAAACACTTCACATGCATTATTCTATTTAATCCTCACAACAATCCTAGAAGAGAGGTAATATTAATAATCTTTATCTTACAGATGAGAAAACTGGGACTTAGAGAAGTAACTGGTCTGAGGTTCCATAGTGAATTGCACAGGATTCAAAACTGATTTCAGAGTTCACATTATTAAAGTGATACACCATATATTTTGTAATCTCAACAGTAATGCAGATGAACGTTCACTATGTCTTTATAATGTCTATATATTTAATATCAATCAATAAATACAAAAACAAAATTGTTCAAAACCCATAATAATTTTTATCTCAATATGCAACATGGTTCACATTATACACTTTTAAACAAAAAACATTGTAACACATAAAAACGGTGGAGAGAATTCTAATTTAGTCGAATAATTTTATAGCTAAGGTTTCTGGGCAAAAGATAGCTTTCATTCTGTCCAAATTTTTAATAAAAATAATCATTTCAAATGGAACAGTCATTTTATAGTACAACACTGAGAAATCAGAACAGTCATTGAACAGTGTCTATCACATCCCATGCATTATGTATATCATTACACTGAAGGAATGGATATTAAACAATCAGAGTAAAATATGGAAGAAAACCTGTTTCAAGTTTGTGTTAAGTCAATCATACCTCAATTAGGAGACTCTTGTATTAAGAGGCATTTATACTGGCAGTTTATTCCCCCCCCCCCAAAAAAAAAACAGTGCCACCAGCTTTACATTTTGTTATAAAAAATGTTTCAGGCACTGATTCTCAAAGTTGGCTGAATATCACAATCACCTAGAAAGTTTGAGAAACACAGATGCCTTTATAACATCCCCCAAAATTTGGATTTAATTGGTATAACGTAGGGCTTCAGCATATACTATTTTAAAACTCTCCAGGTGATTCTAATATGCACCAGCTTGAAAAATACTTAGAGAATTGTTCCATAATCAAAGAGGTCAGTCTTCAACTGAAGGAATCCCCATGACTTGATTTCAGAGGGTTGTATTATTATTTTAATTATTGGTTAGGTGTATCTCCTTTGATTAGAAAAAAAAATACTTTAAGGGAAGAGGTTTTGTTTTATTCATCATTGTCTCTCCATATCTGAAATAGTGAAAAGGCTCATAGTAGTTGCTAAATAAATATCTTTTGAATGAATACATGATTGCCTTATACTTCTGTATATCTCTATCTTCTGGATTCATGAACATAAGAATGCAAAAGATATTTATTGAAAAAAAATTAATGACTGAAGCAGTTAGGATGTTTAAGGTAAATCAAAGTGTGTGTGTGTGTGTGTGTGTATTTAAAAAACACCTACATACATAAATAGATCAAAAGTAGAAAAGTATATGAGTGCAACATTTAATAGTTGAGTTGTTTTCAAAATCTTCACATTCTTACACTTAGAAACAAAAATAACTCTAAACAACTAGTTCTTTGAACTAATATCCATAAGCACATATGCCAATAAGTTTCCTTTTACAAACAGAATTACAGCTTATTCTTGATGCACACATATTTTCAAAATTCAAGTAAATACAATTTTAGCACACATCATAATAGCATTTCCATGATAGTTGTATAAAAAACAAAAGATTGTTCTGGTTAAAATATCTGGTATCACCTATTGTTATTTTCTCTCAGTTGGGATGCACTAGTTTCTTAGCAGTCTTAAATTGATAAAAACTATCTTGGCACACCCTTTTATGTGTTTCATTTAGAAAAACCTAATTAATAAATAGACTTCTTTTTTTAGTAGCAGGATTCTTAGATATGGCTTCATTTACTAAAGTTCTACAGTATTCCATAATTTTTAATTCAGTTACTATCTGATACTATGAAACTTTGGTTTTCTTAAAATTAGCATTGGTTGCTTGAGTGTAGGTTTGTTACCAAAAAGTGCTGCTTCACTCTCCGTGGTCGGAAATCTTTTCTGATATATCAATGGATATTCCTTCTGAAACTTAGAAACAAAATGAAGACTTAAGAGTATATTTAACATGATTACCCCAGCTGAAGCCAGTATACAACATTTTAAAAGAATTCAGTGCCTTTCTCAAACATATATTACAGAGATGAGTATCCCTTCAGTTTCTCATTTCTCCCTGCCTTTTCACATATGAAAGGTACACTGTAAGATATGTTAGATCTGTTAGCATTAATTTTCTAGGATTCTCTTCTCTGGCTAAATCTCCCCCGAAATTCCAGACCTCCTTCCTTCCCAGTGGAAAAGTCTATGAAGGTCACAGGGATCTAATATATTTAATATTTCTTTGAGTGTCTCAGACCTGGAGGACTTGGCAAAATTATGTGGCTACTGGTTTTTGGTATAGTGCTAAAAATTTTACACGGTAGTGATGAGTCACTAAAAATTATGTAACATAATTCAAATTTTGTAATTGTTTTCCCAGGCTAATCCAAGCTATAATCATACAAAACACCAGAAATAAAGGCATGTACCTGTTATTATTATTAAATTTTAAGGGTAAAGAGTAAAACCAGGCTGGTAATCATATGTAGCCAATACATCCAATATTTAGAATCCAAAATGTTAACATGAGAAATTACATTTTAAGTGTTATGAAATAGTAATCAGCAACAGCCTATTAGAAATACTTATATGATCAAGAATATGCTCACTCTCTTACCTGTTTTAGTTTTTTCCTTTTCTCCTTTAGAGATAAATTCTTGTTTTTAATAATATTCTCTAAAAGTTCTGCAATTGCAGCTTGAGAGGTAGAAACTTTCTGTTCATCGAACTCCTGAGCACTAATCTGCTTACAGTATGAATACGTTGGCAAAGGGGCGATTAGTCCGTCTCCGGGATTTTTAATCTGTAGTAAACAATATAATCCAAGTTTATTTATTCTGGTCATGTTCCTATTTGTAAAATATTCTTTTGATGGGTTTTAGTATCTATTACTTTGCCACCAACCATTCAAGACTTTAAGAAGGGTATAAATACCAGCTCCGCAACCTATTAGCTTTGTAACCTTCAGCAAGTTATTTAACTTCTCTTGGTCTGTAAAATGTCCTCAGATAACATGAGATAATGTACATGAGTGCTTAGCATACAATAAATATTAAACAAAGGTAGCTATCATTATTATTACCTTTAACCATGGATTCTGTTATTTTAACTATGAAATAATGACAGGAGTGGTATTTTAATTCCTCTTAAAACATAACATAGTAATAGTTAAAGTATTCACTTACTGTTTTTGAGGAGTATGGGCAGAGCCCATAAATCTGTTGAAAGAGAAAGAAATTGTAGGGGGTAGTAATAATAATGATAAGTCATTATTAGGGCACTATTAGAATGGTATGTATGGGAAGAAGCATGAATATATGTGCTAGGCTGCCCAACATTGACTAGAGTAGACATTTATTGTTATTGGCTGCTCAGTATTCCTTCCCTCCTTGTGACAGTTCCTTCCCTTTGTAACCCCACTACCCTCACATTTTTTCAAGAACAGATTCTCTTCTCATCTATGTAGAGCAAATCAAAGTATGGTCCTCTCTCCAACCCACTCACCCTCAACAACCCAAAGGGTGTGCATTTAACCTAGATTGAGCCAATCAGAGTCCATACTAAGAATTTTTCAAATTGGCAGTGTTGGCATAGCTCTTTTTCCCTTTGGGTTGCAAACATTAAGTCTGTAACCCAAGAGCTTTTTATTTATTTATTTATTTATTTTAAATTGGGGAATTGGGGGAGGGGGAAGTGAGAACAGTGTTGGGGAATTGGGGAGGGGGACCAGCAAATTGTTGTTCTTCAATCTTAGTTGTCTCTAAGCTCAAGGTGCTGTGTTACAATCTCAGTTGCGGGTGGGCATAGCCATCATCCCATGCGGGAGTTGAACTGGCAGCCTTGTTGTTAAGAGTAAACTCTGAGCCATCAGGTGGCATTTCAGCTCAAGGTGCCCAGTTTAGTCTTAGTTGAGGGCGGGCGTAGCCCACCATCAAACAGGCAGTCTTGTTAGGAACACGTGCTTTCATCAGCTGAGCCATCCTGCTACCTGTTGGCAGCTCAGTGATAGCTCAGCTTGGGAGCAGCGTCACTGGTCCATGTGGGAATTGAACGGACGACCCTGTTGCTCAGAGCTCGTGCTCTTAAACAACTGAGCCACTCGGCTGGCCCTGAAGCGCTTTTTAGTCAGTCATGTTGCCCATCATGTGAAGGGCCATTTGTCAAATACAGGACCAAACTGGAAATAAGAGGAGGAGGAATGGAAACAGAGTCCTATTGCTATTTGAGTCCCTGGACTCTGTCTATTCCTGACTTTTAGAGGTTATTTATGTGAGCTGATAAAGTGTCCCTTTTTGACTAGGCTAGTTCAAGATGAGTTTGCCACTTGCAACTGACTAATCAGAGAATTTTAAGACTTGTAATACATACACGGCCCTTTTTTAAGTAGTCAAGGTGTTTCTCCACTGCAGTCTGTAAGTAGGAGGGTACTTGAAGGATTTCCTGATGATGATCCATTAAGAAAGAAACGAATCTTGCCGCGAGTATCTCATCAAGTCCCACTTCTTCGGCACAGCACAGAATACACCGAGAGAAAGTGTGTATCATCTAGAAACATTAAAAAGCTGAGGTTTATATAAGTTAGAATATCAGTAATTTCTGGGTAGCATTATGCTGAAGTATTGAGATAAAATGATAAGCAGACTTCAGCTTAAAAATGAGGACAATAATTTATTATATTAGAAAGGTAAGAATGTCTATTATTCTTTTTAAAGTAGTACTTAAGTATGCTTTAATATAATTCCAAAGGATTATAAAAGGCGTAGGTTTTCTTTAATTTTGTCACAATTTTACCAGTAAATGCCATAGGTTCCATTAATACCATTTAGATATGTTGCTTCAAGGCTGTTAGAGAACAATGACTTGTTACATTAAGCTGATCCTACAAAAACACAGATCAGGATAATATATAACACATAAACTTTAGTGGTTACAAGGTTGGCATCAGTTATCTTTTGAAACTCTGGAACATAGTTTTTAATGCTATGTAATTAATACATGTATTTTTCAATTCCATCCTAAGGAGTCTTCAAATTCTGGGATCAATTTTGTGTTTCAAAACTCATTTACTCTCATTCATATCCATATAACCCACGGAGGTGCGTACACGTACGTGTACACACACACACACACACACACACACACACACGAATAATTAGAATTTCAGAATTCTATTTGAAGTATTTTGCACGTAATATATGATGGGCATACTGAATTGAAATATTTTCGATGTTATTCTTACATGTTAGGCAGGTTCCTTCCAAGCTTAGTCCTCAGCTTTTTATTTATTTTTCTCAGCTTTGTAGAGCTCATTTACTCTCATAGCTTCAACTACCACCTCTCCAAAAAATCTGCCTTCGGCCCTGACCTTTATTCACCAGGCTCACATTTCCAACGTTCTGTTGGATAAATTTCACTTGGATGTCCTATAATCTCAAACTCAAAACGAGTAAAACCAGAATTATCTTCTTCCTACTCATGTCTCTCAAAATATCTTCCCCTACAAACTTACCTATGCTTTTTAACGGTGCTACAATGACTCAAGAATAATTTTTCCTCTTTATATCAGGTCTATCATTGTTAAAGAACTGCCCTTAATGAGTGGAAAATAGAGCTTAGCTCCAGATTCCTTGCTATGGAAACCTCTTATAAATTGAAACTGCACTGTGAGGATGAGGGAGCTCTTGGGGAAGGGGGGGGGTAGAGGAGGAAGGGAGGGAGAGATTAGAGATATTAGTCAAGAGTTCATTTCCAATCAATACCTGCACATAAATGCCTCTACCCTCAACCTCAGGAGCCTGCGACGGTTTCACCGTAGTTTCTCCCAACTTCGTGCCCACAAGGACGTGCCATCCTAATTCACATAATTCATCAAATACAACGTTCCCATTACCACAATCTCTGAAACACTTGGACTTGTAGGACATGTTATTTTCCATGAATTCTCTGCTTTGGAGTTATAGTGCCCGTAAGCTTTCCACAGGGCCTGCACCACCTCTTCCTTCCCCACCACAGAGCTGGCACGAGGCGGTATAAATAAGGTCTGACAATGAAGTGACACAGGATGACTGAAGAGCCAAGGTCCTCACATGAGATAAAGGCTGAGATGTGAAAGTATAACAGACTGGGCACAAAGGATTAATGCACCAACATTTTTGCTGCTAGGTAGGCTTTTAAGTGTCTTTCTAACCCAAAAAACTAAGATTTAAAGACCACACCATCACTCAAGTAGTACATTTAGGTGGTTTGGTTTTCCTTTTTATGGTTTATGAACCATAAAAAGGGATTATTCTTTCCTTAAGAAATCAACTTACCAATGATCTTGTACCCATTGTATCATGCAGTTGGGGCATATCAACATTTTGACTCATTCGAGAAATCATGCGCATTAACAGCTGAAGCTTTCTACGATTTGGTGGGGGAAGTAACAAACAGCATAACTGTAGCGCATCGATGGCAACCCTCTCTAAATGAGGTTGCAGCAGACCTAGAAGGTAAAGGTACCCCCCCGCCAGGAAAAAAATCATCAATGATACGAGTTACTTTCATACTACTAGCATATACAGTTATATAAAGCCAAAATATTTCAGTCTTTCTTTTAACTATTCCTAGAAATTTCCACATTCCTCAAAAGCATGGTTAAGATTCTCACTTTCTTCATAACCTATTTGAGTATTAACACCCTACACTTCTTACAAAGTAAGTGCTTCAGAATAAGTGAAACTGAAGGAAAAGTAAGTGCTTTAGTAGAATAAATCTTAGTTATGCCATGACAAGAATCTTTTACAATAAGAAACTTTCCTTTTGGAGGGGGAAAAACTGATTTAAGAGAAGAAAAGGCAGGTAAGCAAAAACAGTTAGTAAAAACTAAAAGTTAGTATTACATGCAGTGAAAGCATCAAGCTTACTTTGTGTGCCAGTCAACATAGAAGAAGCTGAAGGTAAAGAATTTTCTGAAAGTTCTATTGTACTTCTGCAGAGTCTTTTATTGATTGTGGTACTGGACTCTCCGAGTCCACCTTCCATAGCTGTTTGCACATTTGTGCTGCCTTGTCCAAGATTCGGTTTCATGATAATTTCAGCCACTGGCATATTGATATGACTATTCCTCCGTGTACTACTTCTTAAAAGTAAACTCTGAGATCTACAAAGCTGTTTTGACTTGCTTTTCCCATTATATAACTCCTCTTGGTCTTGAACAGTCCAAGTAGAGGTTCTCTTAAAACCAACACAGAGTGGCCTTTGAATACTTTCCTCGGAATGAAGGTTCATTATGGATTCCTGTTTGGTCTTAGACTCTAAAATGCGTTTATTATTTTGTCCTTCTATGTTCACAACAGATTGATGGCAGCCTCTGGAGACCTCTTCACTTGAACTCCCTGGTAAATCTACAATGCCTTCTAAAGAATAGCACCTTGGTTTGATGTTCGAGGCTAGAACATGCACACTACTTAAGCCTGTTAAATTATGACAGCTTCCTCCTACTATGTCATTAGCGCTGGCTCTTCTGTTTAAGTTAGCTAGCTGCATTTTCTTAGCACGTTTTCCTGGAAATCCATGATTCCTTATCTGCAGTCTCTCAGTAGTTTTTGATTCTTCTTTGTCTTTATGAAGCAGACTGAGAAGAAGACACTCAGTTGATTTGAAGGAATCCAAACTGTTTAAGTGAAGGCTTTGTGAAGACTGTGGATCATCTTGGATTTTATGTATCCCACTGGGTCTATCTGAAACTGTGATGTAGCCACAGACAACTACCAGGAAATGAAACAAAAATTAAGATGCGACTGTATGACAGTGGACAAAAATAAAACAAAAACAACAGTAAAGTTAAAAAAAATCAAGCATCACTATAGTACATGTTGTTAGTACAGTTCAACAACTAGCAGCTGCTTTTCTGAAGCCACTTAAACAGGACACATGCAACATTCAGGCATAAAGTGCAAGATGACAAGAGGCTTTTCAGTTTGTGATATCAGTACATGTAACATTTATTTCAACAGTCTAATTAAATGGATTGAGTCAAATAAATTAAATAAATATCTGCTCACAGTCTAGAACTATTAGAAAGCTCTTAATTATTAGACAGCTGTAGTATAATAAAACATGTATTTGGTCTTTTTGTCTCTGGTACCTGGCATAAACCTCCTAAACCCGTTGGAATTTTTGGAATGATAAGAGTCTTTTGTTATTCATAATGAGCCTATTTAAGCACACCTGAGTTTATGCTAATGAGGTGATTTAGGGATGGCCTTGCTTAGAAAGTTAGACTTTTCAGCCCCATCTCAGACCTCCCTGCAAGGTTAGAGATTTAATTCAGTCACCAATGAATTCATCAATCATGCCAATGTAAGGACATCTCAATTGAAACTCTGAAACAATGGGGTTAAGGGGGCTTTCAGGTTGGTTAACACATGGGCGTGCCTGGGAGGGTGGCATTCCTGGAGAGGGCCTGGAAGCTCTCTGCACAACCCATACCTCACCCTGTATGTGTCTGTTCTATTTGGTGGTTCCTGGCTTGTATCCTCTAAATAAACCGTGAATCACTAAGTGAAACACTTTCCAGAGTCTGTGAGGCGCTGTGGTGAATGATTAAACCTGAGGGGTATTGTGGGAACCCCTGAGTTGGTAGTTAGCTGGGCAGGAGTGTGAGCCTGAGGACCCCATTTGCAGCTGGTGCAGGAAGTGAGGGCAGTCCTGTGGGACGGAGCCCTTAACCTGTGCAGGCTGCGCTAACACTGGGTAGTTTGTATCAAAATGGAAGGACTTTGTCCTTAACTTGTAGGGTCTGGGCTAGCTCCAGATAGTTAGTGTCAGAAATAAACTGAATTGTAGGAAACCCAATTGGCGTGGAGAAATTGGTGTTGGAATGATATATTTGAATTAGTGGAAAACAACACAACAGCAACCAGAGTATTCCCGAATTTTAAAATAATGTATAGCCTGCCACCCTCATATGTGCCTATACTTTTACATCTCTAAAATTATGGGAGATTTGAGAAGTTTAATAAAATGAATTTAAATAATAAATAAAATCCATACATACCCAAAATGTTCACAAATAATTCATAATATTCAAAGGTAAGTAAAGGTTCAGGGAGCTCTAGAAAATAATCTGCAATTGTTCTGAATACATCTCGTTCAAATCCAATATAAGTTGGATTATTCATATCATTACTTCTTGGCCCTAAGAAGTAGAAGGGGGAAAAAAAAAGAAAGTAACATGTATTTTATTTTAATAACATTTTAAAATATACTTATAAAAAGTATAAAACTTGTATTTCATGAAGGAGCTATGTTAAATAAATTGTCACAATTCAAAAAATTTAAAGGGTTTGTACATATCTCATTTCTCCTCATCTTTTCAGCAGAAATCACTGCAAGCAATTACAAGCATTTTGCTTAATATTTATATATCTGAAAAACTGCTTATAAAGCAAAATTTGAAATGTATTTTAAAAGCAATAGGGAAGTTCAATAGAATTTTATCACAATTCATTTTATAAAGCAAAGAATATTTGGATAATGCAAATAATTCTTACAAATTGTCTTTTGCAAATTTACATTTTTATGAATATATTTTACCTGATATGACGCATACCCTTAATGAGTTTAAAATCTTTACATCCTGTTTCATTAGCTTAACGTTGAAATAACCATGCCTACTCATTAGTGTTTTCCTCAGAAGATCCGATCTCATGTTACAGCCGAGGAAACTGAAGAGTAACTTGCTCAAGATGAAAGAGCCCTTGGTGGCAAAGCTAGAATTAGAACTTAGAGCAGTGTAAAGTGAGAGCAACACCCAGGACCTTGAGGTCCAACAACATTTAATGTGTGGTCCATGGACTACATAATCAGAATCACCCAATGTGCCTATTAAGAATATAAGCTCCTCTATACAGACCAGAATCTGTGGAGGTGGAGCTTGGATTACTGACCTAGAAATATTTGTTTCTGCTTCACTAATTCACTTGTTCCCAAACACTGATCTGGGCAACTTTGCCATAAGAATCTTCTGAGGCATAGTTGAAAGAAAAAAGATTCCTGACATACTGAATCATAATCTTTGGCAAGTCTCTATAGCGACTGGGGTATGCATTCAGGTGTGAGAGTCACTATGCTATCTTTCAAGTTAAAGTCTTTCTCTTTCCAAACCCAGGTGACCTCTCTTCTTGGTGTCTAAGCTTTTGTATAGCCCCACAAGTATGAGCACACACATTGAAAAAGGATTCAAGAAAACAAATCTCTCACACACACACACACACACACACACACACACACACTTAACAGCTTAAAGGCTAATATGGGATTTATGTAGAACAAAATAAACCTTTTTCTAAGGAGGATATAAGAAATACTGTTAATATATAGAATAAAAAATTGATAATGAGAAAGTTTTCACAGACAGAAAATACATTACTGGAATTAAAAGTATAGAATTTACAGTTAGAGAACCTAGGTTTAAACACATAGCTCCTTATGTATTAAAAAGAAGACTTTCTAAGTCTTAATTTTCTCTCTAGAACAAAAAAAAATTAGTAATAGTGTACCAATCACTGATTCTTATATGTCACAGGATTACTGTGAGGGATTCAATAACAAGTAAGTCTTAATATTTCTTCTGGCTAGGTATATTGCCATTAAACAGGAATCCAGTAAGTTATACCTTTGGTATCATTTAGGTATAACATGACCTGGGAAGAAGGGAAGACAAATCCCTGAAGATGGGCCATCAGAGGAATCCCTGGAAGTGTGCTTATCTGAGCTGCTCACCATGAGTGAAGACATGAGAGCTAAAGGCAGTTAAGTAGGGGGAAAGGTAGAAAGAGAAACTCAAAAATCTTAAGATTATGATCAAAGTCTTTACCTCGATTTAATAAATAAAATCTGTAACTTATATTATTTATGTTATTGCTATTTATTCTGTTATTTTGTCATATTGAAACCCAGTGGACAACAAGGAAATCTATACTTACCCTGAACATTAATAAAATACTAATTTTATAAGAACCTGAAAAATACCTCTGTAACAAAATTATTAAAATATAATTTAACTTTTGGTGATTTAAAAGCACACACCCTTGCACATTTTTAAAATTTATTTTGAAAGCAATTATGGTTGTGTATTTGAACTGGGGTCTTAAATTATAAAACTCAATTATCACTCATCACTGGGAAAAAAGCTTGATGAATTAAATGCTAAAAAATAATTTGCTGATTTGTGACAGATCATTTTTCATAAAAGTCCCATTAATATATCCTGAAGAGTAGAAGCACGTCATGAAGCACCTGAGTATTGAAGCCATGCACGTTGGAAACAGGTATAAAGTAGGTTTTATTAGACTTCATTTCTGATAGAAGCTTTCCACTTATGAGCTGCTTTACTTACAAGTTGCTATTTGAATTCTTTGGGCCTCACTGAGGCAACTGATGTATATTATACCTAAAAATCCTTTGAGATCCTCTAGCCTATGACTTTATGATATAGAAGTACTGAGCCATAAACGATGCGCTTGAATTATAAAATCACCATTTGCATAGAAAAAGTAAAGGGCTACATAACACACTCCA